GCCCAATGTTGATATACTTTTGGTCATTCTATAAAAAGTTAAATATTTCACCCATTTAAAACATAAGAATTTAATATTTTATTTTTAGTCCCTCAACTTGCAAAATCATAAAATTGAATACAAAATTTTATTCTAAAATTTTCGGGGTGCTACATTATTTTCCCATGCGTACCCTTTTAAACATCTGTATTTGTTATCTGCTCTGTTATATATCAAGAACGGGGTAGTAATATAGAACTTACATTTCAAGCATAAGAATCAATTCTCTTTTATATAGGCGATACGGATAAGTAGATAAGGAAATTTTGTATTACTAATGTAGTCAGCTCTATGATGTACAACAATTGATGACAGTTTTGTACACCATAAGAGAGTTTGGTTTTAATATTGGATAGTAAATTAGTAATATAGACAATATTTTAGCTTATTTTTCTTTAATGTTTTCCGGCATTGATTGATATGTACAATTTTTGTAATTTTTGAGTTATTGAATTGCTACGAGAAGTATGCTTTATTACCTCTTTACAGCATTTGAATTGACTGGAAGTTCTTATGCATTTTTCTGACTATGGTAGCCAGACAGAAAAAAGGCCCTCAGTGGGTGCCGTTTACTCTGCCTTTTCAACAAAATTAGTTGAACGTGACCATTGCAGCTCAAGATTAGATTGACTTTCCTTCAATGGGTACACATTTGCTTTTCTGAGACATTTATAAAATTTTTGAATTGCTGTTAGTTTCTGTAAATTGCATCAAAAGATTGTTATACTTATTATGTTTTCTAAGTTTCTGCTTAATTGCATCTTTTCTGTGACGTTTATAAAATTTATAAATTGCTGTTAGTTTCTGTAAATTGCATCAAAAGATTGTCATCCGTGTCTCCTTGTCTCGACGGAGGTATTGCAATAAAATTGGGAACAATTTACTGTAAAGGAGGGAAAAAAGGGTGGATGTGTTCGTCACCCTCTCGGCCCCAATTTGACCATGCGTTGCAAAGATTTCTACAAGGATAAGTCATCATCTTCATCACCAAACTGTAATATCAGATTTATCTGGGGTAAAAACATACTTTAAATCTATTGGGATTTATATGCCGATTTTGCACTCTTTTTGATTGTTGCAAATGATTCTATTTCAACACAACCTGGATCTAACATTCTGTCTGGCCTTATCTTCTTGGAATTTATTTTTTTTCCCAAAATTGTTGTTTTAATATGCAATTTTCTTTACAATCTCTCTTGAATTTTTGATGTGGTTTATTAGGTTTCTCTCTTGCCTTTAGAACCGGCTGCCCCTCAAGTGTAATAAGTGAAATACAAAGGACCAAAATTCAATGGGGGGCAACTGCCCCTAACGCAAGATCGTTGAGACAAGTTGTTTCAAGACGCTGGATAGATAAGCTAGAGTCTTTAAGTTTATAGATTGGAATCTTAATCTAGAAACGTATCATCGCACTTCAATGTTCACCTTGTTTTGGCGTATGGTTGACCTCTCCACTGCATCTCCAGCATGTGCTCTTAATTTCGTTGGAGAATTTGTTATGCTTTTGTTTTTACGTGCTAATTTGGATCCAAGTAATGGATGTTGGTATTGGTTAATAGTTATACACCAGCTTCAGTATGTCATCTTCGATGAGGCTCTATGCTTGTTGCTTCAAGTATTAAATTGACAACATTGTAATTATATGTCAAAAATTGGTAAGAGCAGTTTCTTAAATTCCAATTTACATGCAAGTTAACCAACCCTAATCTTTTTGCATTTGATGTCATCATAACTTCTGTTAGGTAAAGTATATTTACTATACAATTTTACTGATATCACAAATTAAATTATGAAATATTATATAGAAAAAATATAATTGAATGAAAGTGAATTCAACACATTTAACGTGCTAACATTGCGTACAAAATAACCAATCTCGTGCAATGCACGGCCAAAAACTAGCTTATGCAAAAGAATAAAATAAGGCTTCAACCAACGGCCTGCAATTAAAATTTGAAAAACAAGATAGGACAAATAGCCAATGCACTTTCAAAAAGAACACCACAGACTTTGTCTAGTGACACTGAAATCAACCCTAAAGAGCGGGTGATGGCCATTAGTGTTTTGAAGAATGAAATCATTGGTGATCTACCTTTGAAAGCATTAACTGCTATTCGAGTATAAATACCTCTTATTCCATGTCATCAAAGGCTTTGAAAAGGTAGAAATAGAAAACGGTTTTGGCAATTGCTACACGGAGTGGAGTTTAGCTTCCAAAAATTACAGTTAAGATCAAGGAACGTAATCTAGGCTTTTCAAATTTTGGACTTGGAGAAAAATATTCTTGGTGCAAGATCATATTACTTTCCAAAAGTGAAACATAATAAACACATATATACTTATAGTCGTGTGGGAGAAAAATAAAGGCAATCGAAGAAATTGACTTTGTTAGATTTCCACTCCAATTTCATTTTTAACAGCGTGCATGCTAAATGTTTTTTTGTTTGCAGTGTGAAATATGTGTATGTCTGAATGAGGGGTTGAGAGAGAGGAAGGGAGGAAGATGTGATGTGTAAATTTCTTGAAAACCATGCACCTATTTATAGTACTTTGATTGTGCATTGGATAAGTCCCATAACTTATTTAGATAAACTTAAATATTTAAAGATAATAATAGTATCTAATAGAATTTGTGATAAAGTTGAATACTAAGGATAATAATATCCAACAGAATTTGTTTATTTAATTTTATCACAAAATCTGAGAGTTTCTATCATTTTGGGAGTTAAATATTTCCACTTCAGTTACTAAAATATTAGTCAATAATCAATTAGGTCCCTAAACTATCATATCCATATGATAAGGTCCTAAATTCGAATATAATGGCTAATTTTGAGGTACGGGGTGTCACATAAATAATAACTACTTTTAGTTTGACAGGAGTTGACATAATCAACAATAAATGAAGCATGGGAAAGAAAGATGGTCTTAGGTCCTTCTATAAATACAAAGGTCATTACAATGAAAGACTATAAGTCGTTTACATTTGAGTATTACGACTACTCCTTTCGACATTCCTTAACAAAAGATGTAAATCTTTGCATATATTCAAAACAATAACTTGACCATCAAGGTGGAAATGGCCACCACCCTCTCTTCGGTCTGTGTTCTTACTATTGAAATTTTGTTTTGTAGGATCCCTAAGGAAATAAAAGAGGAAAATATCAAAATATGGAGGGTCTTTCCTCGTTCACACGAAGTAGGCATAAAACCTACCAAAGCAATGCATTTATCAAATCCAAACAGAATTTGTCCTCGAAAACGGTCTTTGTGATCAGATTTTTGTAAAGATATTGAATGGTTTAAGAATTCACAGCATTCTTTAACATGAATTTCGGGTCAAGAAACTTGAAATGATGAATTCCAAGATCTTTTGACGATTGAATCACATTGCATTTCAAAGCTCCAAAATCTACATTTCTTATTCTCCAATGGTCTCAATCCCGATCACAATGGAAGGGGATTATTATCCACAATCTAAGTGTCAATTTTTATGAGATTTCATGTCCAAAATATGGTTCCAAGGACTTTCCAATTTTTGTGTAAATTTCCATACGAATTTTCCCTTCATTTTTCATGCCATCATTTTTCCCTCTTTTTCCAATGCACAATCATTGGGTGTTGTATTCGGGAGTTAAGGGTGGTTATGTGGAGTTGCATGTTTGAACTNTCAAATTCAAACCACTTCCTCCAACCCTTTTAATAACTTGTGGGTTGGGTCTCCCACATGGGCGACCCATGACCCGTATTTTTTAACATATTCCACTCGGACATGATGGACTTGATCCGAACCACAAGGGATAACGAATGTCATGCATTAGATCTTTCTCAAGATCTATCTCACAAAAATTGCATACGACAAATAGATCGTGCGACCAACAAGTAATATTAGAGCTCAACAAGAGGAACATTTCATCTCGCTATACCCTAAACTCATTTTCCAACATTAATTCAAGTATTTCCGATCCCTCAAATATTTATGGAACATACTTGAACCACATCATATCATTGAATTCACAATTATGTTCTATACCCTAAATGGTTAAACACAATTGTCCGACCGGTGAATACAAATATAAACGTTGGTCAAAATAGTTATCCTTTTCTACTTGAATCCTTCAACTTTAAAAAATACACTTTTGGTCATGTGTTGATATGATAGCCCATTTCACTACAACAAAAATAGGCTTTGGCAACACTTTAAAGGCAACATTCGTTGATTAAATGTTGCTAAAAGGGTCAATTGCAACGTTCGTGTGAGTGAATGTTGCGAAAAATGACATTTTGCAACATTTTTCAAGTGAAAGTTTTGGAATGTTGCGAAAAGGCTCACTTTTTGCAACGTGAGCCTTTTTGCAACGTCCGAAAAACGTTGCGAATGGTCACTTTTCCCAGCGTTTGTAAAAACAGAGCTAAAAGTCATTTTTTCCCTTACATTACCAAAAGTGTCCAAACTTTGGTAAAAATTAAAAGCCTTAATTTCTCCTCCTCCTCTCGTCTCTGCCTCCCTCCCTCACACACACAGCGCCATTTCCAATCCTACACTCAGGCGACCTGCGAATCGAAGAGCCCGACCTGCAAATCGAAGAGCCCAATGTCACCTCAACAGCCGCCTACTCTATATTGCCTCCATTCTTCCCCTCCTCATCGCCACCATCTACTTACTCTAGCCCCCCGATCCTTACCTCTCTATTGTCCACCCTCGCGTCGATGATCTGGTCGTGTCTGGGCTTACTTGAGTAATCTTTTCATCCACATGCCTCAATAAGGCTCACTTTGGATCTGGTCGTGTTCGAGCTCGCAAACGTAAGTGATGTATAACTTTATTTTATTAAATGTCTCACTGGTGTTTTGCTTGTTTTGGAAATTTGTTTATGGTAATGTATGCAGATGAAGTTGGTGTCGTCGAGTGAGATGTCGAAGCTTGGGAAAGCTGGTTAATGATATTGAGATGAATTTGTTTATGGTGATGTACGCAGTGAAGTTGGTGTTTTGCTTGTTTTGGAAATTTGTTTATGGTAATGTCCGTGCATAGTGAGTTTCTTCTCATTATCTTTGGTTAATGCTATTGAGATTTCAGTTACTTTTCCATGTTTTGCAAACATAGTTGTGTCTTTGTTGGAGAAGGTAAGCAAACTGTTTTCTAGATTGAATCTACCTTAGATTTTCCCTATTCTTCTATTAATTGGAGGAATTAATTATTTTCTCTAAATCATCTTTTATTTTCTCTAAGTATGGGACAGCGCTGTCAACAGATAGTGAAAATTGGAATGCACGAGGATTATCTACAGAAAGGATGTACTTGTATCTGATGCCCCTTTTTTAATTTATTTTCAATCTTACCATCTTTATGCATGTATAGTTATTTATTTTTTGGCGGTGAGGATGTGTGTTTTGTTAGTATTGTTTTTCTTACAACCATGTAAATATAAAGTTAAAATTTTCTTTTCTCAGCTTTCTTTAGAAATTGTAACTTGTGTTTCATGATTATGACTACGTTTAGTTTGAAATTGCTAATTATGAGAGTCCTACGTAGTATCTTGTATTCAAGATGCACAGTTTCTTGGTCTATGGCTTTCAGTATCTCTAACACATCATCTAAAAAATTAGATGTTTGACTTTGATTTATAGTTGCTCATTTTTTTTTCTTCCAGCCTTCATTGTCAAAATGGTGTAATTGATTAGGATGCCTAGTCAATAAAATGAATACAAACTTGCACTATATATCTAAAATCATTGTGTATTGCATCCTATGTTGTATCTATGTTGTTGCTTTTCTTGCATTATGGTGCAGGCATAGTACGTTCTGCTTGGGAGATTAAAGTAACTCCAAATCAGAATTCATCGTGGGGTGCTGCCACAGTTGATGAGAAAATGGTTGCCAACACCGGATCAGTTGGCAGCTGGGGAACAAGTAGAGGTGATACGGGTGGAAGCAAGTAGAGATGACTTTTTTCCCCTCTTAAGTTAAAGAAGGACTAGTGAATGGAATGTGTGAATGAGTCATATTGCAACTATTCAAGGAGAGAGCAGCACTTGAAGCCAAATATCAAAAGCTATATAGTCCACTTTATGCCAAAGTATGTTGTGCTGGTGCTTATNGAAGGACTAGTGAATGGAATGTGTGGATGTGTCATATTGCAACTATTCAAGGAGAGAGCAGCACTTGAAGCCAAATATCAAAAGCTATATAGTCCACTTTATGCCAAAGTATGTTGTGCTGGTGCTTATGGTGTTATGCTGTTGAGTATGCTGTTGGTGGCCATAAAGAAAGTGCTTCTGGGTATGGACATTCCATTTGCACACCACTATTGTGCTGAAGGCTCCAAGCCATGGAGGTATATTGCTGAAGAAGAAAACATGGACACGGAAGAGATCAAGATGTTAGTCAACAAGTGAATTCTTCTGTTTTTGAGCTCATTATGAGTACAGAATCATTTCTGAAATTTGGCAGCATTATGTAATATTGAGTTGGCTAGCTTTCTCCAGTTGTATCACATTATAATGTTCAAGTGTATTGATTCAGA